ATTAAGATTATACAAGATGGTAATTTGACCAACAGTAACCTAACCTATGCCTGCGAAAACTGGACACTCAAAGAAGCCATTAAACACAGACGTTTAGTCTTTGAAAGGAAACTTCTAAGAAAGATCTTTGGACCCTCAAGAAACCATGATGGCTCCTGGAGAATTAAAACAAATGACGAACTAGATACTCTAATAAAAGAAAGGAACAGTTAACTTCATCAGAGCCAAAAGAATAAGTTGGCTTGGATACATCTCAAGAATGGAGGCTGGATGAACAGTTAAAAGAATATATGACTGGCAGCCACATGCCTTAAGAAAGAGAGGCCGACCTAAGATCAGATGGAAAGATGATGTAAGGGAAGATCTAAAGGATTTAGGAATTTATAACTGGACAACTCGCACACAAGACAGAAGTAGTTGGAAGGAAATTGTTGAGCAGGCCAAAGCATTCAAGAAATGAAGTTGTTAAGCCTTATGAATGAAGAATAGTTGAGACATCTATCATCCTAGCTTATTAACACCACTACATTCCAGAAACAAGTGCTATTTATGTGAGAAATTTCGGGTTACCATGCTGGTAAAAATAAAGATTACAGCCTTGTGGGATGTGTAGTTTTGTAGATAGATAACTAACATTTTAAAGGAACCTCAAGATAGTATACTTGGCCAGTCTGAGGTACACGTTTGATTGCTGTAGTTTGAATCCCAGTTTGATGATAACTGGCTCAACAGATAGCATTGTCAGAGACATGTGCATGTGAGTGCTGATTTTAACTTTAAATGGTAGTAATGTTTCAAGTTAATTGTTGCATGGGAAAGTTTAGTAGCTCAGTCAAGCCAGCTCAGATCCTTAGTTACATTTGACAAGTGGGTCATTCCATGTGAAATCATCCAGAGAGGTCTCTCACCATTAAAAAAAAAAAATTCAAAATTTGTACACTTATTTCTACATATTTTCACACCTCAAAAAAATGTTAAAAAACTGTGATCCCCTCGGTTCTCCCGGTACAGCTGTTTTTATAATGCGAAAAAACGCGTTTTCGGATCAAATGGAGGTTTGCGTTATCTTCTGTATCTCGGTAACTATTGAAGCTAGAGACTCCAATGAAAAACCAATTTGTTCCTGATATGGACAACAAATCATATCATTACAAGATCTTACTCAATTCACTTTCTCTAGGTGTAATTAAGCTTGAAACTTACCTATCGATTTTGGAAAAAACGCTATTTTTCACCTTCAAAAACCAATGGGAGGGGGAAGTATCAGATCTGTGGTTTCTACCCTTTGTTTTCTCCTACATGAAGAATATAATCACATAGTTTTGAGCAGCATACCTATTTTCTGAAATTTTCCAGGAGCTTCCAAACTTTGCTCTGGGCCCAAAATCGGCCATTTTTAACATGTCATATCTCCGGTGGAGAAGCTCCGAAAATTTTGAAATTCATAACAAATAGTGCACAATTCTAAAGCAACTTGAAATTAAAATTGCAACTTTTATATTCAACTAATAGCGAAGTTTCTATAATGCGAAAAAACGCGTTTTCAGCTCAAATGGAGGTTTGCGTTATCTCCCATATCTCGATAACTATTGAAGCTAGAGACTTCAATAAGAAACCGATTTGTTCCTCATGATATGGACTACAAATCATATCATTACAAGGTTTCACTCAACTCACTTCCTCTAGGTCTAATTAAGCTCGAAAATTACCTATTGATTTTGGGGAAAACGCTATTTTTCACCTTCAAAAACCAATTGGAGGGGAAATTATCAGATCTGTGGTTTCAAGCCTTTGTTTTCTCCTACATGAAGAATATAATCACATAGTTTTGAACACCATACCTATTTTCTAAAATTTTCCAGGAGCTTCCAAACTTTGCTCTGGGCCCAAAATAGGCCATTTTTAATATCTCAATCTCCGGTGGAGAAGCTCCGAAAATTTTGAAATTCATAGCAAATAGTGCACTACTCTAGAGCAACTTGAAGTTAAAATTACAACTTTTATATTCAATTACTAGCGAAGTCGTGGGCACTTTGAATAATAAAAAAAAAATAATAATAAAAAAAAACCACACCCCAATACCTCAACAATTGGCTTACCTGCATCCAATGGTATTAGTTCTTTGTGTACTCCGATGAATATTTTCCAGTTTGTTTGAAAGTACACGTAGTTCAGTAAGTGTCCACTATCACGAATTCTTCGAAATCATCGGACTTGGATGTTTTATAACACCTGACTGTGTTTTCCTCCAGATGGACGACCCAGTGTTTTTCTCTTGTGTGAAGCACAGTTTGCACTTTTGGAACATGCTTTTTAGAATGATTTAATTTCTTGCAACTTCCTCTTTTGGCACAAGAAAGTAAACTATTCCTGGGATATTTTCTGTGCAGAAGTTCCATTCTGCTTCAAGTCCGAAGTCTTCATAGTGATGACATAAATTGGAAAGATTCTTTTTGTTTTTATATTGGCTTCCAGCGCCATCACTGAAATAAGTAACTTTCCTGACTGAAGGCACATTTTCTTTTATATCGGCGTTAAGAAATTTTTGGAACACATAAACTGTGGCTCTATCGTGCTTTACATGATCACTGATTATACACAAGCTTGGGCATTTTGTTATACTGCCCGCCTTGTAGTATTACACAAAAGGGTGAAGTGTAGCCTGTTGATTTACCCAATGGAAACTTTGAATCTCGTCTTGAACGAGAAACGAACAAATTTCTGCAAAATCTGTAAAATTTAAAGTGCCCACAACTTCGCTATTACTTGAATATCAGAGTTGTAATTTTAACTCCAAGTTACTCTAGAATAGAGCATTATTTTCTATGAATTTCAAATTTTTCGAAGCTTCTCCACCGGAGATATGAGATGTTAAAAATGGCCGATTTGGGGCCCATAGCAAAGTTTGAAAACTCCTGGAAAATTCTGGAAACTAGGTACGGAGTTCAACCTATGTGATTATATTCCCCATGTAGGAAACAACAAAGGGTAGAAACCACAAATCTGATACTTTCCCCCTCCCACTGGTTTTTGAAAGTCAAAAATAGCGTTTCTCCCAAAATCGATAGGTAAGTTTCGAGCTAGACCTAGAGGAAGTGAGTTGAGTGAAATCTTGTAATGCCATGATTTATAGTCCATATCACGAGGAAAAAATTGGTTTCTTACTGGAGTCTCTAACTTCAATAGTTATCGAGATATGGAAGATAANTCCATTTGAGCCGAAAACGCGTTTTTTCACATTATAGAAACTTCGCTATTAGTTGAATATAAAAGTTGTAATTTTAATTTCAAGTTGCTCTAGAATAGTGTACTATTTGTTATGAATTTCAAAATTTTCGGAGCTTCTCCACCGGAGATATGACATGTTAAAAATGGCCGATTTTGGGCCCAGAGCAAAGTTTGGAAGCTCCTGGAAAATTTCAGAAAATAGGTATGGTGTTCAAAACTATGTGATTATATTCTTCATGTAGGAGAAAACAAAGGCTTGAAACCAGAGATCTGATACTTTCCCTTCCCATTGGTTTTTGAAGGTGAAAAATAGCGTTTTCCCCAAAATCGATTAAGTTTCGAGCTTAATTAGACCTAGAGGAAGTGAGTTGAGTGAAACCTTGTAATGATATGATTTATAGTCCATATCATGAGGAAAAAATTGGTTTCATATTGAAGTCTCTAGCTTCAATAGTTATCGAGATATGGGAGATAACGCAAACCTCCATTTGAGCCGAAAACGCGTTTTTTCACATTATAGAAACTTCGCTATTAGTTGAATATAAAAGTTGTAATTTTAATTTCAAGTTGCTCTAGAATAGTGTACTATTTGTTATGAATTTCAAAATTTTCGGAGCTTCTCCACCGGAGATATGACATGTTAAAAATGGCCGATTTTGGGCCCAGAGCAAAGTTTGGAAGCTCCTGGAAAATTTCAGAAAATAGTTATGGTGTTCAAAACTATGTGATTATATTCTTCATGTAGGAGAAAACAAAGGGTAGAAACCACAGATCTGATACTTCCCCCTCCCATTGGTTTTTGAAGGTGAAAAATAGCGTTTTTTCCAAAATCGATAGGTAAGTTTCAAGCTTAATTACACCTAGTGAAAGTGAACTGAGTAAGATCTTGTAATGATATGATTTGTTGTCCATATCATGAACAAATTGGTTTTTCATTGGAGTCTCTAGCTTCAATAGTTATCGAGATACAGAAGATAACGCAAACCTCCGTTTGAGCCGAAAACGCGTTTTTTCGCATTATAAAAACGGCTGTACCTGAAGAACCGTGCGGATCACAATTTTTTAACATTTTCTTGAGGTGTGAAAATATGTAGAAATAAGTGTACAAATTTTGAATATTTTTAAAAATGGTGAGCGACCTTTCTGGATGATTTCACATGGAATGACCCAAGTGCTGAAAGAATCACTCGAGTAGCAACGTCCAAAGTAAAGCAGAGAGTGTTTAATCAGAGTTCATATCAACATTTCCAACAAGACTGTGTAGTACAGTGGAGTGATAAATGAATGTGTGAATTTACCTGTAAGTAAAGGAAGTCACTCTGAGAGTGCAGCAGAAGAGTGAGAAGATTGTAACCTCAGTAGTAAACTAAGGAATACTTAAGAATACTGTCTATTGTTGTTTTACAGTATGTGCAAAAAATAAAGTACTGAGATGAAAAGACATCCTGTTGATACCACTGTCTATTCATGTGAGAGCCCCTTGCATGACAGAACCTTCTCAAATCCTGAAGAAATGGTCCGATCATCATGTCCCTGTAGCGATCTTGGGTGACGATAAGAGCATAGCCTTCCTCATCCTCAATGAAATAGGGGCCTAATATACCTTGTGCTGAGACGGCACACCATATCGTTAAGCGTGTGCTATGTAGCGGTTTCTGGACAGTAACATCTGGCCACTCAAAACCAAGGAAGCGAGTTGTCTGGAGGCCACTTCTATATGAGCGGAAATAATACTCAACTATGAATACTTTTTCCTCTGTCGAGAGACCCATTTCCAACAACTGTGCAACACAACCTCCTTTTCACTACTGGGAATACGTGCGGCTGGAGCTATGCCCCGTCAACAAATGCACATGCGTGTTCGAGATGTGCGAGTTTCAGTACTGCATGCTTTGGCGCATACTGTATTTATGTGAACTATTACAATGATGAACCAGTGTCACCTCACTTCCTACAATGTATAGAAAACTGTGAGATCCACATCTGTTCTCCAGCTGGAGCATCAAGTATCACCACTAAACCAGTTCTAAGGATGGTAGCCACATGCAAGTATACCAGAATTACACTGCTGGCAAAGTGACAATGATCATGATTTGCAGTAACAGCTATAATAGAATAACTTCTGAGAATAGCTCTTCCTGGGGATCCAGCAGGGTAGGTTTTCTGCTGTTAATCTCAAGATGCAAACAGAACCAATTTCTGAAACATAACATTCTTAAGAAACAGGAATAACTAACCAAGTCCAAAAGAGCAGTCTTATACAAAGTATCTACTATTTATCGTTATATATATTTGTAAATGAAACACACTTCCTTTTACTGAGTTTATCCTTGAACATACTATTCAGCTGACCGAGAGCAGAGAAAGAGAAAGAAAGACAGAATTAAGAGAGAACACCCTGTAAGTGTTTTGCCAAACTGCTCAAAAAATATCATACCAATTCCTTCAGAACCTAAAAAGGCAGAAACATTGAGAAGAGATGAATGAAGTTTTAATTCAGTGCCAATGCACTTACAACACAAAATGTGGATATGTATATGTGATTTTTTTAACATTATTTATTTGCCTTATGACATTCCTGATTATGTAGGAGGTAATGTAATTGCTCTAAACGGTTTCAGAACTTATGGTTTGGCTTTAGTGTTCACACAGCCAAACCATATTTAGCCTCAAAATTACTGACTCAGCAGATGAAATAAATAAGTGATAACTCATATGGCTTTGTAAGAGGAAATGCCATTTTCATGGAAGACATGACAGTATGAGCTTCCCAAACGTTTCTGCGACTTACAGCAGAGAAACAAATCTCTGCACACAGCAGAAAAATTCCAGCATATTCAGAAACTTGAGAAAACTTAAGACACATCGGTTTCACCAATGAGTGTATCTGTAAGATATGTGACCTTGAGGATTCGGCTGAAATATTGTTTTTCTAGTGGCAGATTCACTGTCCATGGCATGACTCTCAGACCACGTTCCTTCCAAAGGCGTACCACTTCTCTATAAAAGTAAATAAAATGTTACATCAATGATATTTATAATAAGAACATTACAAATTATACAATTTCTTTATTACAGACCGCCACAACACAACAATATAAAGGTCAAGGCTAAAATTAGCTTAGCTACATGTTTTGGCTATTAAAGCCATCATCAGGAAAACACATGATTAACATATTCACACACTACTGAACTGCACCTGCAATGGTAAAGCTGGATACTTGAATACCATGTATTATAAAATACATGGTATAAAAGTACAATGAACTATAAACTTATTAAAATGAAAGTTATGACATAAAAATAAGGTTAAAACTCTTCATGTGATATTCTATATCATCAAGTCAGTTTGTTGCAAATTTGATATATTCCCACAGACATAATGGTATATTCAGACTTGTATACATGCAATAAACTGCTTGGAGGCCTGTGGTACAGATGTAATATAGTTTTGCCTTTAATTGTTCAGCCACTGCCTCATCTTACAATGTGTTTGTCCTTTCTGTAGCGAATATACATTGCAAATGCTATTTCATGCTGGACCCCTTTGATTCTGGAGTGACACAGTGCACTCATGTTCCATCACAGTTCACTGCTCACTCTAGGAATGTGTTTTCCTCCAATTCAAACTAGTGCAGATGTCTGGCATACACAACAACATGCTCTGCCATCTGGTTCCACATCAATGATTTTGGTATTAACTTTATTTATTTAAGATTTGTTCAGCTTACTGTTCAAATTCACAGCTCCAAAAAGAAACCTTAGCTGCAATTTACTTCTAATGCTTAATCTGATATCTGAGACATGAAAAGATTACTGACTCTGGGAGAAGTCAAGCAATTGTACTCACTGTGAGATGGTATCCCTCAGTAAGCCCACCAGTGATGTGCCCAGAAAATGATGATAGAAATTGTGCAGTGCCCACTCATCCAACAGGTCTACCGAACGAGCAACATAATGGCGGACAGGATCATCATACCTATATTGCCCATCTCCATTGGTACCATTATAGAAGAGCGTTGCAAACCTGTGAGGTCTCCAAGCAAGCATGCAGGTAATACGGGGATCCTGAAGCCGGACCTGCAGACAGGATTAAGAAGGATTGGGAAGGACAATCAGATACTTACGAAGTAACGGTGTCCTTGTGAAGGAGAATGACTGATAGACCCAGCACATGGTGAAAGAAGTTCTCATATGCCCATTTGTTGATCGTGTCCACAGCACGTGCTGCTAACATCTGCGGCAGGTTGTTGTAGCGGGGCTGACTTTCACCTTCCACTCCCGAGTACGATGCGGAAGCATACAGGTGTGGTCGCCATGCCAGAGAGCTCGTGATACATGGGTCTCCACGCCGTATCTACATAAGCCATTGATGCAAGGGAAGAATGCTAAGGCCCATGAAGCCATTGCCTCCAAAGTATGTACACGTTTAAAGTAAATGATACAAATTGTGGCATTTCTCAGTTTAGCAAACTCAGTGTGATCAGCAGCACTGACAGTCTTCTCTGTCTTGGAGTCTAATGTCAGTTACAGCCTACTGTACTGATAGAGTACCGCAGTTCACAATACTGATGCGCAAATGTAACAGATTTCAATTCAAGACTGAAAAAATCAAGAATATGTGGCATAGATGGCAGAACCAGTCAAAGCCTGAGTGCTTTTAGATTTGTTTGTAGTTTATTTACTGATGCTTTCAGCAGCTCTGACTACAGACTATGGTTCTCTCTGTGCTTAATTAATTAAGAATCACACCATGACGATGTATGGAGGAGTGACCTTGGCACTAGATGGTGAGTACTCAGCTTCACACCCTGACCACTCTACCTCCAGAGATAGAACCTCTGGTACCCATTAGACAGGATGCTGGGTAGACATCAGAGCCAGTCTGGACCCTCTGGAGAAGGGAAAAATCGTGCCCCTGTAGGGAATCCAGCCCTGGCCCTCCAGCTTGTAGCCCATTGCTATACTGACTGTGCTAGCCGAGCTCTTCAGCTCCAAATATATAGTATCAAATAGTATGATTAATGATTAGGAAACTGGATGTAAGTGTTGTGACCGATTTCAAGATACCTTCCTAGCATCTGCTTGGAGGGACCAATGAAAACCATGAAAAAACTCAGTCTGGAGAGTCAATGACCTGACTGAGATTTGAACTAGGCAATTCGCAAATGGAAGTCAGAAGTGTTGCTGTCTCAGCCAACTGGCTTGGTCAATGTGCTTCTAAAACATATTCACCATAAAATGAGAATTCTAATACCCTGCACAAATCACAGTGTCCATTTTAATGCAATTCTCTAGCCAAGCATCACTCTCGGAAAGGTCTCCAAGGGGTTAAGACAATGCCTTCCTGATAACCTTTATGTGCCACTATATTTCTGTTTAATAACTCACATTTGCATTAAAAAAAAACGAGTTTCAACTTGAATTGAGAAAGCAATAAACTCCATACACACAAAATTTGTTAACTTGTAATAAGTAGCATATTATATTGAAATGGAAAGAAATTAAAATATAAAAGAAAGCAATACCACGTTTCAGTATCCTAATATAATCATTTTAAACATGTAATATATTTATGTTACATCCAACCATATTTCACATTTCAGCAATATTGCTGCTGTGTAAGTTATGGAAATGTTCATGTACTCTAAAAGTTAGATGAATTCTGAAGTTACTACAGAACCCATCTTACATCAGTGTGATAATTGTTTAGAAAATGGGGCAAAAATCTTGATGCATCCCAAACTATTATGAAGTTCTACATATACATTTTCAATGTTTTATTCTCTATAGCATATTTTCACAAGTGGAACATGAGCTCTAATGTCTACAAGTGGCAAGGGATGAAGTTCAAAGAGTTCAACATTTCTGACCACAGTTTTCACCTAACTGGTTCACTATCAATTATAACTCTGAGCTACCAAAGTGGCTTAGAAGCTGTACTTAGATTAACATAACAGACAGTACCCTCAATAACTTTGATATGAATCCAAGCTACACAGAACTTTCAAGGATGAAGTAATATTACAGCACGAGGGTATCTGATATGTAGGTTTGCTGGAACAATTTTCATTAGGAGCACTATCTTCTGGGATAAAATGCCTTGCAGTCTGTTTGAAGTCCTCAGAGATGTAGATTGACTTTCAATGGTCTAAACAGCATTATACCCAATAAGATGGCCACTACTGTTAGAACCTCAAGTCCTACAAATGTTCATTATGCTTATTAACTTACCATGTAAATCAAGAAAGGATTGAATGATGAGACAATGGCTCTGGTATACATTTCTTTATGGTTCTTGTATGCATTATGGACCACAGAGACCATCTGTAAAAATGTTAAACTTAGCTTCATTTCTTGACTAGAATCAATATGGATTAATAAGAGACAGAGTAAATGGAAAAGCAAAGAAAGTCTACATTCATGACACTAAGCTGAGGGATGTAGTGGGATACATATGTACGTGGTGCGTTCAAGTTATAAGGTCTCTGATTTTTTTTTCTCACACAATAATCATACAAAAAATTTGAAACTTCTGTCACTTTTCAATGTAATCTCCCTGCAGCCGTACACATTTTTCACAACGTCGACACCATGATTCCATGGCTGCTGTGAACGCTTCTGTAGGAGTCTGTTTTGACCACTAGAAAATCGCTGATGCAATAGCGGCACGACTGGTGAATGTCCGATCACGGAGAGTGTCTTTCATCGTTGGGAAAAGCCAAAAATCGCTAGGAGCCAGGTCAGGTGAGTAGGGAGCATGAGAAACCACTTCAAGGTTGTTTTCACGAAGAAACTGCTGCATCGCATATGCCCGATGCACTGGTGCATTGTCCTGGTGAAAGAGCACACGTGCAGCCTTTTCTGGCCATTTTTATCGCAGTGCTTGAAGGAGCTTGTTCTACAAAACATCTTGGTAGGATGCACCTGTCACCGTAGTGCCATCGCTGTCCCAAACCATGGCCACCATCATTTTTTAGCACTGGCGCTTACCCAAAATTTTTTTGGTGGTGGTGTCTGTGTGCTTCCATTGAGCTGACTGGCGCTTCATTTCAGGACTGAAAAAAGGCATCCATGTCTCATCCATTGTCATAATTGATGAAAAGAAAGTGCCATTCATGCCTTCATCATGTGTCAACATCGCCTGGAAAATTGCCACGCGCCCAGCCTTGTGCTTGTCCGCCAGAATTCGTGGCACCCACCTGGAGGACACTTTCCGCATTCGCAGGTCTTCACGCAGGGTTGTGTGCACAGATCCCACAGAAATGCCAACTTTGGAGGCGATGTTTTCCACACTCAATCGGTGATCCTCCGAAACAACTTTCTCAACTCGCTCGACCATGCTGTCAGACCGGCTGGTGCGAGGCCGAGATTGTTTTGGTTCGTTGTCACACAACGTTGGGCCTTCTTTGAACTGTCGCACCCATGAACGCACATTTTTCACATTCATGACACCATCACCACACGTCTCACTCAACTGGCGATGAATTTCAATGGGTATCGCACCACGCAAGTGGAGAAAATGAATGATTACTCGCTGTTCTTGTAACGAAAACGTCACCATTTTAGGTAACAAAAACACTCCTCACTCTCGCTGCCACCACTAGAGTTCTGTGTGCCGTACAGTGCTGCCATCACTGTCACACATTCACAAAGAGTGCACATGTATTTTAAACTAAACCGCATGTGTCTATCTGCTCCCAGTCCTGAGAAAAAATCAGAGACCTTAGAACTTGAACACCCCTCATATAGTACCTACACTGTATGGCACTGGATGGCAGGATGAGTGATAAATGATGGGCTGGAAAGAATATGGAAGGTGTTATCCCAGAATCTGCCTGGAAAGACTAATGAAAATACAAAAACTTTAGTCAGTATAGCTGGTGTTTTCCAGCTGAGATTGTACCCAAGCAATTCCTGAATATAAATACAGTGTTACCTCTATACCAACCTGTTTGGTGGGCCACTGTTCTGATAAATAATATTCTACAGAAAGTTTCACTGAACAATTACAGTACTTTGTTTGGACAACTGTTCCGCCAGTCAGTCATCAATGCACAGTGACTTGCACATTAAAACCAAGTCTGCCCTTACACATCTGCTCTGACAATAAGTATGCAGTTCATTTCCTTAAATTTCTGCATGTTTGTTCTTGTAGTCAGGTGTCAGCATTCACTATGTTTGTGTGGAACCATGGCAAGATAGAGCAATGAACAATATGGTATATCTGATGCTACTGCTGCTGTTCAGAATTACACTAGGAATAAGAGCTCTTCATGAGAAATGTGTTCATAAACTGCCTTGGCAGTTTGCCTTCACCCAATAAACCACATAGATGTTCAAAAACTGGCATAAACCCTACTCAGTTATGAACATGAAAAACATCAACCAAAGCATCCATGAAAACTATACAAGATGGAAGTTGAGTCCAAAGTCTTTTCACTGTTTTTCCGAAGGAACTCCTCTCTCTAAAACACACATTCTTAAAGCTTGAAAAAAAAAATATTTTCCCACTGAAGATATTGATGGTGCACAATCTTCAACTACAGATCCAGTTCTGAAATTTATTTTCAGAAATATTCATGACTGAAAAGTTCAACCTCAGCTTCTTTTAATGATGTGGTTTAATATGAACTTTTTAACTCTAAATTGTGATAAAACACATTTATTACAATTCTTTTTAAAGAAGCACAGAGAAATAGAAATCCAAATTACATCAACCAACTCACTAATTACTAACATCAATTGCTCTAAATTTTGTGGAATAAATATTGATAGCACCCTGTCTTGGAATAATCATATTACTGTGTCATCATAAAGAATAAATAAGGCCTGTTTTGTAATAAAGCCCTTTATGTCATTAGATTCAATAAAGATGATTTACTACTCTTATGTACATTCGATACTGAAGTACGAGGGGGTACCCAAAAGAAACCGAACTTCTTTTTTTTTTAAACTTATTTATTCAAATTTTAAGCACAAATCTTCAATCCCCTTCAAAGTACTCTCCACTTACACTAATACACTTGTCTAGTCTTTTATTCCATTTTTCAAAACATTGTCTAAATTCATCTTTTGAGATGCTTGACAGCGCCTCCATCGTTTTTTCCTTTCATGTCTCTTTTCATTCGAGGAAACAAAAAAAA